GTGCTCAGGCTCTTAACCGTGGCCCCGTCTCGATCTACATCTAGGGCGAGAGGTTTCTTTTTTTCCTTTTCACGTGTGGGATTTCTTTGAACATTTGAGTGTTTACTGCCAGACCTGGTGACAGCAGAGGGACGCTGGGCCTCTCCTTCCTTCTCCTTCTTGGTTCTTCCACATTGAGTTATGTGCTTAATTTGTGTAACTGGAATGTGTTTGATCTAATTTTATTTAATTACGTGTTTGTTTCGGTGCTGCTAGACATTCTGTAAGTTCCTCGAAGCAAGGAACTGGCAAACAGGTACGTGCGACAAATAGATTAAAGTGGATCTTGCAAATTGTAAAACGATTAGACCAGTTTACTTGAGTTGGGGATTTTCCTCTCCTCTGTGGGGCTGTGTCGTATTTCATTAGCTGTTTGCGAATGTTTGTATTCTGATCAGTGGGATAACTGAAGAATAGGCCATAACATGTTGGAATAATAAAGCCGGGGGCAACATTATTTAAAATCTAGCATATTCAGGGGCACCTGGGTGGCTCAGACGGTTAAGTGTCCAGCTTTGTCTCAGGTCATGATCCTGTGGTTTGTGAAGTCAAGCCCCGCGTCGGGCTCTGTGCTGACAGCTGGGAGCCTGGATCCTGTTTCGGATTCTGTGTCTCTTTCTCTCTCTGCTCCTCCCCTGCTCATACTCTGTCTCTCTCTCAAAAATAAATTAACATTAATTTTTTTTTTAATCTAGCCTATTCAACATATGTGTTCCTTGAAAAGAAGTCTTTATGCCACTATAGAAACTGTTTTTAGGTAGGTGGCAACATGCTATTCCTTCTTGATAATTCTTCTACATGTCAGGGATCTTTGGATTATTTGAGGTCAGGTCCCGTATATTCCCTCAGAATCCTCAAGGACACTCTGGCTCCCTTTTCAGGGAAATGTTCTGTATTCTGCATCCTTCAAGTTCTCAGTCTCTGATCATACATGCAGCGTTTGTCCTACCAGGACCCCACATGGGCCCTTCCATCTCCGCTTTCTCTCTGTCCAAAATATTTCCTCAGGCTCTAAAGCTACTTCTGAAATCCTGTTTCTCCAGTGAAACTTTCCAGTTAATTAAAAGAGAAATCTGGCCTCACCTTTATATCAACTTATTATTCAGGGATAAAGTTTAACCAGCATCTATGATACATGGCTTCTTCACTTTAATTATAATGGACGCATTTATTCTGTGCATGGAAACTGACACGAGTCTCTGTTTTATGCTTATATTTTAAGCAGTGGACTTGCTTGGCACAGTAAACATGAATTTCAGTTCTGCTGGTCCTTGGTCGTTTGTTTTGCTTAAGAAAGAGTTTATGATCGCTTCTCGGCCTTTTGGCTAAGATTAAGTGAAGAAAGAGTTTATGACCTGTGGATGAATATGAAATAAAACGCTGTTACATTTGTGTGGGTTTTGTTGGGGCTGCCGTAGAAAAGTACCAGAGACCGGGTAATGAAACGACAGAAATGTATTCACTCGCAGCTCTAGAGCCTGAAGTCTGAGATAACGGCGTTGGCAGGGTTGACTTCTTTTGCAGCCGTGCTCCTTGACTTTTTTCCCCCTGTGTCTTCACTAGGCCTTCCCTCCATGTGTGTCTTCTCTATAAGGACACCAGTCATACTGGATAAAGGCCCATCCTGATGATCTCATTTTGACATAATCACATCTTTAAAGCTTTGTCTCCAAATACATTCACTTTCTGAGCACTCAGGGTTAGGACCTTAACGTATAATTTTGGTGCAACACAATTCAGCCATAACGAAGTTTAAATGTATAACATAGTTGTCCTAAACTTTGATGATCATTAAAACAAAAATTGTCTTTAAATTTTAAAAATAGGCAAAGGGAGAGGACATCCTGAAGGACAGGAGATTGTAGGATGTTGGTTGTGATCTGGCTTAGAACTGGCTAAGTGATTTTGGGTGAAATTCATAGTAGTTAAGACTTTTGTTCGTACTTTCCAACTGTTTGGATTCAATGACAGTACCTTCTAAGTACCTCTAAGATGTTGTGATTCTCTCTTAATAACTGTTTGCAATTACAGTAAAACTTTGGTTGGCGAGCATAATTTGTTCCACAAACATGATTGCAATCCAAAGCACTTGTATATCAAAGCGAATTTCAAGAACCGTTGGTTCAGTTGTGATCATGTGATGTTTGGAATCACGTGCGACTTGTATTGCAAGACATCGCTGGCTTTTCAAATGAAAATTTATTAGAAATGTTTGCTCATTGGGGCGCTGGGGTGGCTCAGTTGGTTAAGCGTCTGACTTCGGCTCAGGTCACGATCTCATGGTTTGTGAGTTCGAGCCCTGCATCGGGCTCTGTGCTGACAGCTCAGAGCCTGGAGCCTACCTTGGATTCTGTCTCCTTCTCTCTCTGCCCCTCCCCACACGTGCTCTGTTTCTCTGTCTCTCAAAAATAAATAAATGTAAAAAAAAATTTTTAAAAAATGTTTGCTCATCTTGCGGAACACTTGCAAAACAAGTTACTCGCAATCCAGCGTGTTACTGTAGACCCTACTGCTTATTTAGGAAGATGCTTGGAGAGGAATTTTTATAACTCCGTGTTTCCTGGGGGGAATGTTGAAGAGCAGAGCTTGTGTCAAATGGGCCTTGATTTGAATTCCAGGCCTTTCCTTCTATAGCAAAGCTGAAGAAAATGACTACAGAAATCCTTCTCTTGGCATCTTACCAGCCGTGTGGCTGTGGACGGGTTTTGTAGCTCCCTTGTGCCCTAAAGTTAGTCATCTATAAATTGGGAGTAGAGGTGTTAGGAGGCTCTCCTTAGGTCTTGGCGCTGTTGTTCACTGCAGATAGATACTGCCCATCTGCAGATGGCCCTGGGTGGCAGGGTGCTGGGATGCAGCCCAGGGGCAGGGGGGCACATCGGTCTCCATACCTGCTGACTTGCGTGGCCTCCACTGCCTGTCTGACTCACGTGCCACAATGGCCACTTGTGGCTCAAGGCTGTCAAAGTGGAGCTGGGTTTGTTTATGTCACTGTCCCTAACCTCGCTTGCTGTGTGATGGAGCCCCTTGGCTAGATAGGTGTCACTTGAGGGAAGACGGGTGGGTTCCAGCTGGTTACCAGAAAATAATTTTTTCTTACCTCCTCTTCCTGTATTTGGTAGTCCCAAATGGTTCTAAGGACATTGGTCTTCTTTTCATGTCTTACCAGGAGGCAAATGGTGACAGTTTACGGGGCAGAGGTATCATTTAGCTTAGCACATCAGCTTTTAAGATCCATAGATGACGTTAGTGTTGCCAAAAGCAAGTGCTGCGCCTTGTGTCTCCTTTTCCTAGTCCAGAGTACCCATGTGGCAGAACTTTGGTGAGGGGTCAATGAAATAATTGCGTGTGTGTGTGTGTGCGCGTGTGTATTTGAGGGTGACCGAGCACAGCAGTGTGCTTTCCACATATTTTATTCTAGTTAAATTGAATTTTCACCCTTTGTGTTGGGATTGATTTATATAAGCCTCATTGTTGGAAACACTCAGGGTGGCTTTTATTATTAGGCTTGAATAGACCAATTGATTCAGTATAAAATTTTATTCCAGTAAAACCACTGAAACAAGTTGACCAGAAAGTTCTCTATACAAGAATAAAGAAACCCAAGTTTTGTGAGGCTTACCTATTTTAGTCATTATGTAAGAACATTGGGGCTCCTGGGTGGCTCAGTCATTTGAGCATTCGGTTTCTTGATTTCAGCTCAGGTGTTTATCCCACACTTGTGAGATCGAGCTGAGCTCTGTGCTCGGCATGGAGCCTGCTTGGGATTCTCTCTCCCCATCCCAAGCACACACCCTATCTGTCTCTCTCTCTCTCTCTCAAAAAACAAAACAAAACAAAACAAAACAAACAAACAAACAAAAACATTAAAATACAACTCTGTTGACAGTACTATTCGACCTGGAAAAATTCCTGTAAGCTACCCCTTTTAATTTTTTTTTTTTTTTTTTTAACGTTTATTTATTTTTTTGGGACAGAGAGAGACAGAGCATGAACGGGGGAGGGGCAGAGAGAGAGGGAGACACAGAATCGGAAACAGGCTCCAGGCTCTGAGCCATCAGCCCAGAGCCCGACGCGGGGCTCGAACTCACGGACCGCGAGATCGTGACCTGGCTGAAGTCGGACGCTTAACCGACTGCGCCACCCAGGCGCCCCAAGCTACCCCTTTTAATTAACATTGCCTTTCTCTGGTACCACTGCTGGTATTTTCTCCTTTGGATTCTGTATTCGTGAGAACTTTTTCAGTCACAAGGCGCAGAAACCCAACACAAACAAGCTTAAGCTAGAAAGGGGATTTAGTTCAGTTTAAGTGAAAAATTGTAGGGGTAGAATTACCTTTAAGCAGGGTTACATCCAGGGGCGTATAGCATATTATTGGAGCATTTTCTTCTTCTCAAATGGATGTATTTTCAGGAAACTGATCAGAAAAAAGCCAGCATCCCCAAAGTTATATCCTTATGACTTCCAGCTGGAAAGGAAGAACTTCTCTCTTCCTGTGTCCATATACCAAGTATCAAGGAAGATTTTGATTGGTTTTGCTTGGTCATCCTTGAACCTGTAACTGGCTGGTGGGTAGAATGTTGTGGCCAACCGCTGTGGCAAAGCATCTTGATTGGCAAGTCCATGGGATCACATGGGCTGGGAGACGGATGGACAATCTCCAAAGGAAGACTGCTTAACAAATATCTAGTCCACATAACTCGCATTTCCAAGTCAGCAAGGGTTTAGTGTTTATTCTTTTAGTTGAGAGGGAATGGGAAGGTAACCGTCGTAAAATTGTGCCGAATCCATTTGAAAATTTAAGCTGCACGTTGCACATCTGTTTGAGATGAGAAGATGAGGACACACCTGAAAAGTGTCCCTCGGGTGGGGTAGACAGTCAGATAGTTGGGGCATAACTGGCGATTCCTGAAGTTCATTTAAACGTGGGCAGTTTTTTGAGTGAAGGAAACAAAATGGCAATAATGGACTTCTGCCTTCTTTTGGTAGGGCTAGATGATTGCCTGCAGCAGTATGTTCACAAGTTCGAACGGGAGAAGATAAACGGAGAGCAGTTGCTGCAGATTTCCCATCAGGATCTTGAAGAGCTGGGGGTCACGCGAATTGGACACCAGGAACTCGTGTTGGAGGCTGTCGACCTTCTCTGTGCACTGGTTGGTTCAAGAGATCTGTGCCGTGATGACGTTCTTTAGAACCTTATTGTCTTAAATCTTCAATGTTTGTGATTTAGAATCATTTTCTTATTTATTTGTTTAGACAGTGAGAGAGAGCAGGAGTGCACTCGAGAGGGGGAGGGGCAGAAAGAAGGAGGGGGGCAGAGAGAGAGAGAATCCTGAGCAGGCTTTGCACTTCGAGCACAGATCCTGATGCTGGGCTCAAACGCACAAACCACGAGATTGTGCCCTGAGCCGGAACCAAGAGTCAGATGCTTAACCTCCTGAGCCACCCAGATGCCTCCATTTTCTTAATGATCCATTGAAATGAAACGTGAGCTGAAGATAACCTAAAAAGGAAGAAAAGAAATCATTTTCTAGATAAAGAGGTGGCAAACTGTGGCCTACACGTTAAATCTAGCCCACCATGTTTGTAAATAAAGTTTTATTGGCACACAGCCATGACCGTTCGTTTATTTGTGGTCTGTGGCTCCTTTCATGCTTTCAGGGGACCGTGTGGCCCCCGCAAGTCCAATATATTTATTGTCTTGCCCTTTAAGAAGAAATCTGCCTGTCACAGAAACTGAGTTTGCCTTTTACAGAAAAAAATCTGTTAGTTTTCTTATCTTCTGTGGAGAATAAAACACTGGAGATAATCCTGAATGAAAATATCATGTTCTAAGCTGAAGTGAGATACAGGTTCTGATTTCATGTGTGTTTTTGGTACTATCAACAGCTTTTTTATGTTTCACAGGTATTTGTGATCTTTAAATAACTGATGTGTTTGCTCGTAGTAGTCAGCCTGCGGAGTGGTAACTAGAAGGGAAAAAATGTGAACTTTGGTACCCTTTGCAGATGATTGAGCTTTGACTTGCACATTGAGTTAAATCCTGCCAGGTTCTGACTCTTGCACTACACCCGTGGCCGCCCGAGCAGCTGTTTTAGGTGTGGGATGACAACACCTGTGAGGACATTGTGTTTCCACACTGGTTGCCACACGGTGGGGATCCACGTGTGTCCGTTAGGATGCCGTGTGAAGGATGCAGCGCCCCAAACTGTCAGGATTTGGACCCAGGCCGCAGCATTCAGTCTGGGTTAAGTAATGCTGTGAACCTGAGCCAGGGGTATATACAATGACATCACTGAGAACGGTGGGGAAGAATGTTCCCGATGATTCTGCCATTGCTGGTCTGCGTTCCATTGATTATATAACTCTTACTGCGCTGTGCATGTTCTTCTTCTTAAAATGGACAGAGCTTTGTCTCCTGCTCTGAGATGCGCTGCTCTTGTTTATGAAACTAACGGGGAAATTATTTGTGGTTGATAAATGAGCTGCCACCGGGGAGACGCTGTGGCCAAGTGGTGTGAATGTTGGCCTGGAAGGCAGGCGTTTTGCATTCTGATCCTGCCTCTGCGACACACTCCTCGCTCTGCGACCTCCAGGGAAACGGTGGTGTCTGTTTTCCCCATCTGTACAGTAACACTCCCTAGATGCGGCTGCACACTAACGTGTGTTTTGCATGGCCCAGAAGATGTCTTAGAGTCTTGTTTGTTCTTAAAGCTGCATTTTTTTTTTTTTTTTTTTTTTTTTTTTTTTTTTTTTTTTTTTTTTTTTTTTTTTTTTTTTTTTATACAGGGCAGCTTGTTTGAGTTTACTTTTGTTACGCTTTCTGGGAAGATCACTTTTCCATCTTTTCTGCTAAATGGATTTGTCTCTTTCAACTTGAAGGAAGGGGTTTGAGGACAGGCAAATTACTTTGCAGTCCACAATAGGAGAGGTAAGGAGGAAGGGTCTGTTAGAGGCACACGGTGCACAGCAAGCCGGATAATAAACCTAACAGCTGCCTCTTTGCTTTTGCCCCTTCCCTACCTCTTAAAATATTGGATAAAATGAACAAAGCTGGACAAATGCCAGAACCTAAAGCTGCATTTTATCTCCTACAATTTCCTTCTAATTTCCTTTGTAGACAAAGTTTGACCTCAGACTCCTTCTGGACATGCCTTCTGCAGTGGAGTGCTGGTGAATGCATTTGACAGGAGGGTGATAGGAGAGTTCTCAAATGAGGGTGCCTTTTCCGGTTTGGGAAGGGTTTTAGAGAGCTTTATTAAAATAGCTTTTCATCTTGCTGTAATTTCCCCTTTAAATGTTCTTATTGTAATGCATGTATTAATTATACTATCTATTTAATCCATTTATACTGTATAGATCTTTGTGTATATAAATTGGTCATAATTTTTTGCCTTGAACAACTCCTCCCTTGGGCAGTTAATGTATATTTGCAGTTGGCCCTGAGGTTGTATAAAAGAGGTTGTCATGTAAACTGAGTTTAGTGGATGTTGGTTTTGTGATAGACAGGAAATGAATAGAATTTAGAAGAAAGGGGGAGGAAAAAACAAAACCACTGGAAAATTCTGGAAGGAACAGGGCAGATAGAATGGATAAAAACCTAAAACTAGTGAACAGCTGTTGGTAAAGATTCCAGAACTGGTGAGCAGATGGCCCACAGATAGGTGGTCATGGATAGAGAGCAAGGGAGGGAACGCCACTGTCTTTTACAAGTGACTGGTATCGTGAGGTAGAACCAAGATCACTCTCGGGATTGAATTCAGAGTCTGAGCCCAATTTTTCTCTACCTGTCAGGGGCAGACTCTAGAGCTGCTCTTTCTAGTAGGATAGCTATTGGCTACATGCAACTATTTACATGAAAATAAATTAAAATGAAAAAAAAAAATTACCTCCTCGGTCGCCCTAAGCTACATTTCAAGAGCTCATAGCTAGTGGTGGCTAGTGGCTGCCATATTTAGACAGTGCAGATGGAGAACATTTTCATCACCGCAGCAAGTTCTGTTTGACTAGCACTGGTCCGGAGGGTGTGACTGAGAGTAATGAACTATGGACTATAATTGTAACCTATTTTCTTTGGCAAATCAACCTGTCAAGACCAAGGCAGGCGCAGATAGATTTTTAAGGTTGGTGTAGGTTAAGAAAGTGAACAAAGTTGGGATCAGCACACACGTTAACTGATGCCACCCAAGTGTGTGATTAAATGAAATACTTGTAATGTGTTTACTTGTCCAGGGTGCTTCTGCGCACTTGTATACCCCTGAGATTATTCATTGTCCATAATTTAGCCATCTCTGGCAAGTCATTAAAAAATGTTATCCTTCTTTTTGGGGAGAAATCATGCAGGAAGAGTGATCTTTGCTGTCAGTTTGTATTTAACTTGATCCTGCTCATGAGGTTGTATTAAAATGCCTTTAGGGAAACTGCAGAATATATGTCTTAAGTTGTGACCTAATAATTGACCCAAGTCAGTGAGATGGTTTAGACTGTGTTCTCTGGCCCTCCTTAAACACATATGTTAGATCATGAACAGGGTCAGGAGGAATGGGAAGAGGAGGTAGAAGAGAAATAGAAGATTCATCTTTAGCTAGAGTGTGTATAATTCAGGCACCGGAAGAGTAAGAATCTGCCTGTTTCCTGTTCTCCTGTCTGCTGTGTCATTTCTCTAACCAGACCGGGAAGTAATCCCTGATGGCTAACCTCTAATGAAGTGAGATCTCAGTGGAAGGGTTTCTGTAGGTATGTAGAATTTCAGAGACTCCTTTCATTTCTTACTCGGTGTGTGTCTTGTCGATACTTTTAATGCAGTTTCTGAAGGAGATAAGTTTTAGGGAAAAGATTAGTGGAGATAATCAAATCTGGGCTGAGAAATTACTCATTTTCTGTCTTTTGTTGTGGGTCATTTAAGTCAATAATACTTCCCTGATTATTTTTCTACATTAGAGGCTCTCTTGAGTTAATGTAATCAGTTTCTTGTTCTCTTCTTATTGTGGAATGGAGTGGAAAGGGAAGGTATTTTCCTTCCTTCTTTGCTTCTTCCCTCTATCTTGTTAAAATTGTACTCCATTATAGCTGCATCTATCTATCTATCTATCCTTCTAGTCCTATGGGTGGGAAAACAGAATCAGAGCACCTTGAGTGGAAATGAAAAGAACCAGTTAACAAGAAGCGACACTTCCCCTTTGTTTTAATATTAAAAGGGGTAGGTTTGTAGGAGATTGAGGTTTAAAACTTCTTGCAACACTAAAATGCGTTCAGTCCGCTTTGAATTCAAGAAGTAAATGTTGTGTACGGTAATAAGAGTTCCACTAATTTTAGGTGACGTCGATTATAGAAAGCTGACTCTCTTGCTTTAGTTCAGAACTCTTGATAGAAGTTGGCAGGCTGAGTAATTGACTGAATGAGGGGACAGTTCCCTTTAATCAGTCACAAGTGCTTCAAAACAAGCTTGTCATGTGGCTCTTTATCCATTCACTTGTGAGTCTTTGATTCTCTGAATTGAAAAAGCATGATGAAAACCCATCTTTGTAGTTTTGTCTTCTGTGTTGAAGGATAATGTCATATTTTAGCCTGTAGAAAATGACAGAAAAAAATGAAGAATGTAAGAGTTAAATGGAACATTGCCGTTTAATACAAAACACTTTTATTTTGAAATTTTATTTCATAAAATTATGAATTTGTGAATTTATTATGAAAATTTTAAGGTTTACAAAAGACAGCTTCCAGTTCGTGGATCTGGGAAGGATTTTTATTTTCTTAGCCTACTTTTTTGTTGTATTCCACTCTTTTCAAAATTCCTATCTAAATTTTTTTAAAAAGCACTTTTTATTGCACTAGAGGAAGCAACATAAATTTAAGCTTCATGAACAATTAACTGCAGTGAAAACCCCACTACGGTGTCTTAGAGTCATTGTCACCAGAAATTACTTGGGACTTTTATTACCATGCAAACATTTCTTTGAACATCAGGGGTGGAGCAGGTCAGGATAGAATTTGGGGGGAGGTAAGCATCTTGTTAGTTTGTGTAGAATCCGGGGCCGCTGGCTGCTTTTCTTTTGCTCGTCTTTACCCAGCCTATTTTCTGTCTTCTTCTGCCCTGCCTTGGGCAGGGAGGGTGAAATGGAAACATGCCCCATGGTGATCCAAACCTTGTGCCCTCGCTGCTGACTACTTTGATTGGAATCCCACCTCTCCACAGATTAGTAAATTCGATGACTCCGTGCTTCTATTCCCTCACCTGTAAAATAGAGATACTATCATTTCCACCTTCACGTGTTATTTACCGGAGATAATACTTGTTGAGCCCTTAGTTCAATCCCTGGTGTGGAGTAAGTGTTCAATAACGTTGGTCATATCATTCCCGGCTTTTAAATGGTACCACGGTCTTGTTTTGGGATGCTATTGAAACTGTGTAGTATGCCCCAGAAATATCTTTATTTTTCTGTGAAAATAATGAAACACCAACTTGGGACATGGACGTGCAGTTCAATACAGAAGTTCATCCGTCCCCTCCCCAGAGTCATCTCAGATTTATGTGTCATCCTCTGGGATTTGTTCTTTACCTGTCACGTGAAATTCATTTTTTTTCAAAGCACCTGAGTAAGATGAACATCGTCCAGAAAGAACACAGGTTAGGAACTCAAGGGCCAGAAATTACATTTCCGGTGAACTGACATTTAGTCAGCGCTGCTCTGTTTTTGGGCAGGTGCATCTCACCTGATGGAAATTGTCTTCTGTGCTGCAGATACGGGTGAACCATACATAGAACTCGCCCTGTCTCACAGTTTGTGCCCCATGGAGGAAGATGGTTCCTACCAACCATGGTGGTTCCGGGAGGTGGCAGATAGGTGATGTGCTAGAGAGTGACCTGAGGGGGCGTTTGGCAATGTCTGGAGACATGTTCGGTCGTCACAGCCAGGGAGAGTGTGCTACTGACGGCGAATGAGTCGAGAGAGGCCATCGGTGCCACCGAGCCTCTTGCCATATACCAGAATCCTCCCTCGCCCTCTCACCCCAACCAGAACAGAGACCACTGGGCTTTAAATGTCAGTAGGGCTCAGGCTGAGAAACTGCTCTACGTGGTCAAGGAAGCCTCCAAGAGGAGGGAACATTTGGGCTAGGATGTCAATATAAGAAAGAGCTATTCTTGCAAAGATTTGTGGGAGGAGCATTTTGACAAGGGAAGCTGGCGAGAGTCAAGTCCCTGAGGTGGGAGGAAGCTGAAGGAGGAACAGAGAGGAGGCCAGTGTGACTGCGAGTGGGTGAGGTCTGCACTGTGGGTAAATAAGGAGGATTTTGTGGCTATTGTAGGAGTTATTCAAGTTGCTCGCTGGGCTTTTGAGTTACTAATAGAGATTGGACATTGCTGATTGTTTTGAATTCTTCCCTTTGATTTTATTTTCCACAGAATTACGGCCTTGAAACCGATAATATGAAGAACTTGGTTCTGAAACTGCGAGCATCTTCCCACAACTTACAGAATTACATAAGTAGCCGGCGGAAAAGTCCGGCTTACGATGGGGACACTTCCCACAAGCCCCCGAACGAACTCCTGACCTCTGTGGTGGAGCTAATCGGTGCTGCTAAGGCCTTGTTAGCTTGGCTGGACCGGTAGGTTACGCGTGTGCTCCACTGTCCCATCAGAGGAGGGCCCAAGCTGCACACACGCCTATCTTAGGAAAATGAGCCTCTTCATGTCCCTTCCACTGGGCCTCTCCAGGACTTCTGGATCATGGTGGGATTTTAGGGTCCCTTTGGAAGCTACTGAACAGACGAGTGGCAGGACCAAATTAAGGTCCACTTGGGGAAGAGTGGAATCCCCGTGCCAAAGGTGTTTTCGCTGCCGTTAAACACTCATGATTATTTCGTTGGTCTGAAGGCCGTTAGTTGACTTCTGAAGGGACGTGAATTCCCTTGGCTCATTTTCTACTGTGTTTTTATCTAGCACTCCTGCGGCTCTTCTGTTCAGATTCCTGTTTTGTGTGTTAACGGGAGAGGAAACCATTGCATAACGAGTCCTTTAAACCAGCTCTGCTTGTCAGCCTGCAACGTGGGATCCCAGTGTCCCCACCCCCCTTTTTAAAAGAATGCTTGTTGCTTTCCAGGGCTCCATTTACAGGGATCACCGATTTCTCAGTAACGAAGAACAAGATCATTCAGCTCTGCCTGGACCTGACCACTACAGTCCAGAAGGTCAGTATGCCGTTGCTTTTTTAACATTGTTTCCTCCCTTTACCCTTGTCCTCTTCTTCAGAGGGCTCACATGCAGGCATGAAGTGCCTTTTTCGCTCTTTCTGTTTCTTGCCATTTTTTTCCCATCTGACCTGGGGAGAGATGAAGGGCTTTCCATTAGATGCATTGTTGCCGATGGTTTCTGAACAATGGGCAGTGGCTTTTACATCAAAGATTACCTTTTTTTGTTTTAAAATAGTTGAGCTAATAGGCCCGTACTTTCTCTAAACTGTTAGAGCACTTAATTTTTTTCATAGAAACTCCAGAGCAACTAAGTCACGTGAAGTTAAGAAATGCTGAGGGAAGGGCCCCGGAAGGATGAGGTGGATACAGTTATGGATATGTGGCTGGAGGGACCCTCCGTTGCAACGGTGACATTTGAGGAATCTGACCAGCATGACTCTGTGCTTGTCCTGATGGAATGGGCCCATTACGTCATCTTGGGGTGTTTTCCTGGTAGTCATTTTTTTTTTTTTTTAAGTTTACTTATTTATTTTGAGAGAGAGAGAGAGAGTATGAGCAGGGGAGGCATAGAGAGAGAGGGAGAGAGAGAGAGAATCCCATGCAGGCTCCACACTGTCAGCACAGAGCCCTGCATCGAGCTGGAACTCATGAACCCTGAGATCATGACCTGAGCCGAAACTAAGTGTCAGACGCTTAACCGGCTGAGCCACCCCAGCCCCTTGGTAGTCATTGTTGACTGTTGGGAACTGATGATAGAAAAAACATCTCTTGGTGGGAGTTACAGATCCTGATCTGTTCACGTCAGGAGCAGGGTGTCCTGTCCACCGAGCAGTCTCACCACACTTGCCCCTGCTTCTGTGGGCCTCAGCTCACCTGGCACATGATAAGTGGTTTTTAAAATTTTTTTAAATGCGTTTTTAAACAAATGAGATAATGCTTTTGACAAAGAAGCCGATGCAAATCTTTCATGTATCGGGAGAAATTTAACCCAAACTTAAGGGACACATGAGGTATTGTTTTTGTTTTCCCTTTGGTGCTCATTGAGTATATGCTTCAGAGACAGACCACCACAGGTTCAAATCCTGCCTCTACCACTGCTTAGCCCTGGGACCTCAGACAAGTCGCTTAAAACTTAAGAGCCTCATTTTTTTTTTTTTTTGTCTGTAAAATGGGAATATTAATATTTACTTCACCAGATAATTTGGTAAGATTTCTACAAGTTATTGTTGAACGAGCAAAGAAGGAAAAAAAGTGGAATATAAAGACAAATGGTGACCCCCCCCAATATGAAAACGTAGGAAGACACGTGTTCGTAACACACACGCTATCCAAGAACCTGTGTACAAGGGAGTAAGTTCAGTAGGCAGTCTGGAGGAAAAGTCGTGTTACTTTAGCAGGGAGAGAAGTGGGGACAGAGCCTAGGAGCCAGCCCCCCCGCCCCCAACCCCAAGGACGAAAAGAAACACTTTTTAAAAAATTTACAAAGACCATTATGTGACCACATTTATGTATTTGTGTAAAATTAAATACAAATAATGTGAAATATTTTATCTAAAAATAACCACACCTACCTCGAAAGTTTGCTGTGAAGACTAAATGCAAAGCGCAGTGCCCACAAGAAGTGACAGCATATAGTAGGAAATCTAAAAATGATGCCTTGTGCTGGTTTTCTGGACACCGACTTGATGGTTCCAGGAAAGGGAGTTCACAATATGCTGCTCCTTTTTGGTTTGTTTGTTCTGTGGCTTATTTTAAATTTTTTTTTTTTTAAATGTACAACACTC